TGAACCAGTTTTTGTCTGAGCGTGTTGCTGGGTCTGAAATGCACCGGGATGTCATGCTTGGAGAAAACTCTCCTGAGTTTTTCTGATACACCGGCTACATTGTCATCCCCTATGTAGCACTTTAAAAGCAACACATGGGTGACCAAAGTGCTGTGCAGCAGAAATATACCATATAAGTACCATATAAGTATAATAAATAGAATGAATAGATTACAGTAAAACAAGTGTCAGTTACCCACTGAGTTGAAAGCCAGTGTCTAACATTGAGTTTTTAACCTGAATTTATAGACCACCACTGAAGTAGATTGCCTAATGTGAAGAGGAAGCTCACCCCAAAGCTTCGGGGCCACAACAGTCACACTCAGTCTCCTCTAAGTTTCAGCCGCGATTTAGGGACTGAGAGAAACAGCTGCTTAGCTGACTGGAGTGAAAGAGGGGGGGCATAGGGCTTCAGCAGATTGGACAAGTAAACAGGTGCAAGAGTATTAAAGAGGGATTTAAAATAAATATAGAGAAAGACGGACAGGAGAGAAAGAGGAGAGCTTATATTTAACAGTGAGGTCTGATGAGTGATATGATCCAATCATCTTGCAGTTGCAGTTCTTACCAAGTTGTACGAAGCATGCCAGGACACAGATGAGTAGAAATTTTTGCAGACCGAGCATGATGCCAGCATGTGTTTGTAGGAGTGTTGAGGTGAACTTTTATTGAGCAGTTTGCTTCAGTGGAAAGTACGATTATCATATGTGGTAAATGTGGCTTTCAGCTGCATCCTTTACCCAGTGTAAGACTGAAACTGGTGTTATCATCATGTTCATCAGCTTATCGCTGTGAAACACACTCATCATGTTTAGTCGTCATTATTTTAAGCTCTTATAATAAGAAGTTCCCACCCGTTGATCCTCATAGAGCTGAAACACTGAAAAATTAGCTGCTGAAGATGGAAAGCATGAGAGCTACATGTCATCCTTTTATAAAATCTGAAGCTTCTGCTTCTGCTACTTTACCACACTGCTCTATACGCATATTTACCAACAGGTGTACCTACACAGGTAAATAAATATTGCCTATTTAGTGTCTGCAGTGTTAATCAGAAAGTTTTAAATATTCTTCATTTAAATCTTTAGTAGCTGTATCAGTCTGTGATGGCTGGTTGCCCACGGCTGGTTTTGAAGAAGCGGCGGAGGTTTGCTCTGTTTGCTTTTATATTTGGTGTGACCTTGGGCGTGACCTGATTTTCACCAAGTTAAATCAGCACAAGCTGCTATTGGTTTCTGTCATCACATAAAATTTTAACATTGTTAAACAACTATTATTAATTATTAATTACTCTCTGGTGTAGATCATACGGAGCCCCGCAAGGGACATGGGAGAAAAAAAAATACGATGAACTTTTGCGAGATCCCGAGTTTGTTGAATTCCAACAATGGCAACAAAACAAACTCGGGATCTCCCAAAAGTTTTGTGAGATCTCGCAAAACAAACTCGCAAAAGTCCGTCTTTATTTTTTTTCCCTCCCATGTCCCCTGCGGGGCTCCGTAATATTACAACTAAGTAGCTGCCGCCATTGTTGGAATTCAACTTTTGTGAGATCCCGAGTTTGTTTGCGAGATCTCGTTGCAAAACTAACTCGAGATCTCGCAAAACTTTTGCGAGATCTCGCAAAACAAACTCGGGATCTCGCAAAACTTTTGCGAGATCTCGCAAAAGTTGAATTCCAACAATGGCGGCAGCTACTTAGTTGTAATATTACTCTTTCTGGGTCACAAAATACACTTTTAAGATATTTTGAGGCGTGAATGTAGTTGTGTAAACGTCAGATATCTGCTCGGTTTACAAGACATCACATATTTGCAAAAATGCTCCGACGTTTTGCGAGATCTCGCATAAGTTTTGCGAGATCCTGAATTTGTTTTCTCGCAAAAGTTCATCGTAATTTTTTTCTCTCCCATGTCCCGTGCGGGGCTCCGTAAGATCAAGGATAGTGAAAAACATTTGATCCCTGTGATAAACTGTAGCTGAATTTCACAGTTATGGGATGATGCATTCACACTGGATACAGACTAAAAACTGTGTTTATTTGGAAACACACATCGAGAAATTCGTGCTGGGAGACATGTTAATGATTGAAAACATTCCAGAAATTCACAGCTGCTCGATCACTTGAAGGTGAAGCAGGAAGGATGTGGAGGTGAGATGATGGAAGCACAGCTGTTTTTATTTCTGCAGCTGCGTTCATCGAGCCTGGTGATGGTTTAAAAGCTTTTAGTCACAGCAGGGCGAGCACAGCTCATGCTAACAATGTGACAGTGAGCCTGGATGCTTGAGCATTGCTGAGGAACCGGACTGAAGTCGTCGTCTGTCTGAGCTCTTTGGGCTTCATGATGTCGCCATCTGCTGGTGATGGACTCAGGCCTCTAAACAAACATCAACTTCTGGCTTTGAAATAACTTTATCTCTGGCTCATGTACGGGCAGCATGGGGTGGGGCAGTCTGGGGACCCCAAAAGTATGCATGACCAACTGCTATACATGATCCAACATAGCTTAGAAATGCAATATTTAAGTTTAAAGTCTACATTTCGTCCTGTTTTCTGTTTTTACTATTTTCACTTCTCATTGTATTGAGTATGATCTATCCATAATCTCATGAAAATATTATTGGCCATTAAAATATAAAGCCTCGTTATGAATCTTTTGTGACAAAGTCATATGTTTTGGAACTAAATGTGGCATCATCCCAAGTTGTTTGAAAAGCACGTTGGGTGTGGTAATTCCTGGAAAACCACCGCCTACAAATAAAGTAAGTAAAGTGGCTCCTTCAGTTCACGGACTGACGGACCTCATCACAGAGCAGCTTTTCTTAACCTGGAGCTCTGGTAAGTCCTTTCCTAGCTTTGGTCAGGAATGCGTATGATTGATGATTTGCTGGCAACGAAGAAAAGGACGTTTAGTTTTTCTTTTATGATTTCAGTCGCTGCTCTGCAAAGCTGCATTTGAATGTGATGATGTGCACACAAAACTTCTCCAACTCTTAAAACTCTGATGTATTTTTTTTAAAGCAGAAACATCATTATTATGCTCAAGTGTGAAAGAAGCAGGATGATTGCTGATAAAGAAAAGAACGCATTTTTAATACAGAAACGTGTTGCACTTTTGCCTTTTGTCTCCAGTTTAGTGCCATTAAAATGAATGGAAATGCTTTTTTATTCTGTATTCTTCTGCTGAGCGTCACCTTATCCAGTGGTGAGTAAAACTGATTTCCCATTAAACTCAATTCTCTATTAATGTTACAATCTAAGCTGAACACAAGTGTAGTGTTGTTTGTTTAGTATTAGAACACACCTAAAACACATGTGCATGTGCATGCATGTTCTTGATGAGGTTGTCGCTTGTTTCCAAGGTTTCATAACCGCAAGAAACCGTCAGTCGACAGTTTAAGGGTTACTTTATAAAGTTATCGTGTCACAACAAATAAATAAATAATTATTACCAGCACAGAGGATTATGAGCATTCTCAGGATGTTGTTATGAGTTCGTTTACTAACATGGCAGCCAATCACAACCCAACACCAACTGGCTATCACGGTATGAGGTGTGCAGATACAAAGAAAGGTTTCAGATGTTTGCACCTAACATAGCCGCGATAGTAGTAATGCAAGTGCTAATAATGATGCACTTTAGTTTTATTTAATGCTTTATATATGTGCAATAATGAATCCAAAATTTATAAGAAAAACATTTATGGTCACAGCTCACTTAATTACTTTTCCTGTCCTGGGAGGAAATTCCAGGGTCTACCTTACAATATAAAGTACCTTGAGGCAACTGTTGTTGTGATTTGGCCCTGTATAAATACAACTGAATTGAATTAAAAGTGATGTTCATTTTTTAAAAACATGTTTGTTTGTTTGTTTGTTTGTTTGTTTGTTTAATAACTGCATGGTCTTAACCCTGGTCACTGTAAAGAACAGCTGATGTTGTAACGCTGTGTACAGTACTAACGCTGTCGAGACGTTTGCTCATATTGCTGTGAATTTCTGCAGCCTGTTACAGTCTCTAGAACGAACCACCGCTGATCTGATATCAGTATTTTTAAATAAAAGTGGGAAAATAGCTATATATCTGTTGTGCTGTGAAATCTACATGATCCTTCATCTTTCTCCATAAATCCCAAATAAATCGATTACACTGCATTGTTGTTCCTTTAGCCTATGAAGAAGGTTACATCAGGCTGGCTGGTGGCCAGGAATACTCCGAGGGCCGTGTGGAGATCTTTCACGATGGAGTTTGGGGGACGATTTGCGACGATGGCTGGGACATAAATGACGCTCATGTAGTTTGTCGACAGCTGCGTTTCCCTGGTGCAGCCGAGGCTCCTGGATCAGCTGCATTTGGCGCCGGTAACAAAACCACGACGCTCCTCTTACGCGCTACATTTCAGTGGTTAATGGCTAGACTGTAATTGTGTGGCTGTTTTGGTTTTAGGGGTCGGTAACATCTGGATGGACGATTTAACCTGCGGTGGGTCGGAGATTAACCTACTCCAGTGTACGTTTCCTGGCTGGGGGGTCCATAACTGCGGTCACGGCGAAGATGCCGGAGTTAGATGTGAGAAAGGTGAGGATGTTAGCATAAGGACAGAAGTCTCCAACCTCCTCTGAGAAATAAAGGTCAGAAAGACATTTGTCTTAGAAACAGGTGTATTAACCGTGTCTATGTTGATCTATATCAGGGGCGGAGCCTCAGAGCAGGGACCTCAACCACGAGTACACGTTGGACCACAATGCAAGCCTCTCTCAGCAGCTAGGCGAGCTGTTTGACAGCAGACAGGACTGTGACGTGGACATTGCAGTGGCAGTGGATAACAACATAGTGGAGACCATCTGTGCTCACAGGGTCATCCTTTCTCTCAATTCAAACCTCAAGGCTTTGCATCCAGACCTCAGCAGCTTGCTCATTAACGTGTCTTCTGATTGCAGCCAACATGCAGATATATTTGTCAGGTATAAAAAGTTCACACTTGCACATATTTCTATGTAAACCTGTGATCTGTCAATCAAATTTTTGAATTTCAGATACTTCTACACGAGGAAGATTACGGTCACATTAGCCTCCTCCCACTGCATCCTGAAAATGGCTTCTGACTGGGGCCTGACTGAATATCACAATGAGGCTGCGAATCTCTTCAGACTGTTTCTCCCCGAGGACCCCACCTTCCAAAGTCAGAACTCTCTTTATGAGTACGCAGTTCGCAGAAGTGACGACACGCTGCAGCAACTATGTCTTCGCTACCTGGCGTGGAACTGCGAGGCGCTGATCAACTCCCCGGCCTGGACAAGCCTTCCTTTTAATCTGGTCAAAGCACTCCTTTCTCGCTCAGACCTCGTGGTGCGTAACGAAACAGTCGTCCTGAGCGGACTGGAGAGATGGGCAGAAGCTCGAGGAAACGCAACCATGCGTGAGATACTTCTAAATCTCGTCCGCTTCCCGATGATACCAGCTGAGGACTTATACAGTCTTGACAGCTCAGAGTACCACGCTAGCAAGCTGGAGGGGTTTCAGTTTAATGCTCTTCCTGTAAAAATGCTCCTCAGGGACCTGACAGGAACCATCTACACACCCAGGATTTACACTGGCAGACCGTGGAGCTTCACCTTCAGCAGTCAGGAGATCCGAGCTTACCAGCACTCCGGGGTCTACATCCTTCGAGGCCAGCGAGTCAGCAGCCTGACGTCTGATTTCCAAACCCCGGTTCATAACAGCGCCTATTTCGCTTTTCACACCATGCGCTGGAAAGTCACGGCCTACGTCAGAGAGGAAGACTGCACGAAGCAAAGTGTCACATGTGCTTCTTTACCAGCGATCAGCTTGAAGATTGAAGAAAAGAATTTACCCAGTGAGATGGAGGGCCGCATCCGCTACAGCAACAGGCTCATTCTCATGTGCGCAGGAAGGCACGTGTTCCACGTGAACGAATTTAATGCTGTTGACAGCGACAGCCCCATAGCTGTTCCCAGCATCTCAGAACAAGTCTACCCGTGCCACTCAAACCTGTTCTCCTACCAGGTGGTGGTACGTCCTCAGTACTCAACAGATTAGATCTGACTAGAGAACTTAAGAGAAGGAGGGTGTGCGTCAGCGCAAGAACTGCACGCACATAATGCTTTCGGCTCTCTCCTCCTTACGTGCAGCAGCTGCAAGTGGAAACCTCACAGTGAAAATTAAGGTGGATCCTGGAGCAGGTAGAATTGACTTCATGCAAGTTTTCTAAACATGAGCCAGCTTGTCCTGTAGTTGCTGTGGAATGCATCGCTGTGGCTTGTTTGGGCACATGGTGCTAGTGTAAACCTGGGCAGAGAGCAGTATCACCGCATTTCTATCTGATGATAAGTGAAAAAATAATAAAAAAAATGTCTGGTCTACTGTTATAATCACTCTGTCTGCAGAAGGTCATGCATTTCTTTTATTATGCAATGTATGTGTAATCAGATTACAGTGTATACACTTCTGTAATGTATTTGATTCACTGAAAATATTTACTGTCACTGCCATGACAACAGTCCAGCAGTCTTAGCACAATCTGTCTGTCCTTATACAAATACAGTAGAATGATAGAATAGAGACAGTTATTAATAATACCTGTTAAAATCCGCAGTAAGTAACAGAGCGTTTAAACATACTGCAGGCTGCCTCCTCCTATGGTGTCAGTTTGAAAATCCTTCATCACCCATGTCTCAAATTATCGCATTCACAAGACTTTTTTGAGGTCAAGGTCACTGAGATTTGAATTCATCCAACATTTTGTGTAGATACACCTGCGGCCCACCCGCCCCACGGTGGGGTGATAATGATACCAAAGGCTGATGGATTGAAAATAAAGATTTAAGAAAAGAAAAAAAACTCTTTTGCAATGAAGTTACAAGTAAAGTTATGTAAGTACAAATGTATGATTGCTAAATCATTTAGGAGACGTGTTTTATGTCATCAAATTATTTCAGCTAATTTTAACACGGTACGGAGGCATTCACATGAACTCTGCTGCTCCTCATAGTTTCTGTTGGTTTTTAAGTGTTTTAAAGAGTTTTCTCCACTAAGGTACAAAATAAATTCTTCTTGCACTTCTTTAAATGGGAACGGTGTCAAAATCATAAACACTTTTATTTTATGGAGCCGGTTTTTAGATCCTGCCGAGCTTAATTCAACAAAAACAGGCAGAAACCTTTCTGATAAACAACGCTTCTCATTTCCTGACTTTAATGTTTTGAATACTGTGACTAAAGTAAAGGGTCTAAATCAGCGGTCTCAAACTCAAATGAGCTGTGGGCCACGGGTGGCACTGTCGTCTCATTGGAGGGCCACTTTAGTGTTCAAGTAGTACAAAAAACCCAACCAAACAAACAACAAAACACTTTTAAAAAATTTGATATTGTATAACAAATCAAAACTGCAAACACGGGCTTATTTTTTTTCTCACTCTTAACTAACTGAAGCCTTTCATTGAACTACCAAAAAAACACATTGGTTCTCTCATTCTAGTCAGACATGCGGCAGGGTTCTGCTATACTTTTGTTTATATTTAACAAAATAAAAATGCAGATATAAGTGTACACATTAGTTTTTGTTCTCTCACCTAACTAACAGAGCCAAATCCCTCCGCATGTCTGTACTCTCTGCTCATAGTTCCTTCATATGAAATTATTTTTGCCTTTTTAAAGAACTTATTTTAACATTGCACTCAACAATAAACAAATCCTCCCTAACAAAAAAAAAGTCCCTTCAAGGGCCAAATTGTGTTACATTTCTCACGTCAATGTAGGGGTGACGTGGCCGCAAGTTTAAAACCCCTGGTCTAAATGCTTGAGATCAGAGCCCCTCTCCACTGAACACCAGAGAACGGCCAGCTGCTGCGCTCGGAGCTGCCAGCAGGGGGCGGCATACGGTTGGCCCGGTGAGGAGGACAGGCTGCTGGAGGTTTGCTGCCCTCCGCCGGCAGCTTCCCGGTAAATGTGCTCGGTGTCGGAGATAAAGGAGGAACCGCTCGGTCGCTTCCGGTGACTGAGAGCTCCGCGGTTTCTGCACGATCCCGCCGACGCACAACTCACCGAACGGCACCCGCTGCACGTGCACGCGCACGCGGCAGCGCTTCGTGGTGTTGGCGGAGAAAAGCGTCACGGTTCGTGTTTCTGTGAGCTGGTCTGACAGGGTTCCTGCTCCACGGTGACACAAAGCGCGGATAACGGCACGGCACGCTGTGGAACATAAGAGAGAGAGAGAGAGAGGGGGGGAAGGCAGAGGGCGGTGGGGGGGACGGTAAAGCAGCACAACGAGGAAACCAGCCGCGCAGCCGCGGACGCCTTCAGCTCGTTCTCAACAACCACCGGACACGGACCGGGAACGAGCCGCTCACACCGGGCCGCGCACAGGCTCGCTCCCTGAGACATGGGTGAGGATAACGGAGCTCTGGGTGAGGGTGCGGGGTGAGGGGGTGAGCGGCAGGCCCGTTGTCAAGTAGCAGGAAACAAAGGCCCGCCGATCTCGTGAATCCACGAAGGGCCAGTTTCGGTTTCCTCTTCATCACGTGTGCACACGCTTATTATCATTGAGCTCCTGCGGTTATGGAGGATGCAGGCTGCCATGACGCTGTCAGTAATGCGCGTTTGTTTGTTCTGCCTCTGAAACACAGTCAGTCTACACATACACACACGTAAACGCAGCAATGTGCCATTCACAGCCTGCTGCATGAGAACACGGTTCATGCATTGTACCAAGCCAACATCCCAGTTTTGCTTTGTGCTTCCCTAGGGTCAGAGCCTCCCAGCTCTCCACAGGTGGTGGAGGATGGAGGAGAGGAGGATGAGGAGGAGCTGAGCGGAGGGGAGGAGGCAGACTTGCGGTCCAGCTCAGGCCGGGGCTCCCTGCTCACCCGCAGGGGCATCACCCTCAGAGTGCTCCTCAAGGATGGCCTGGTGGAGCCCGGGGACGGCGTGCTAGCCATACACTATCTGGTAATAACACGTAGCAGTTATGTGAACATGATTCTGACTCACCACAGTATGCGTGACTTGACAGGAGGTCATAAACTCTTGCTTTCTCTCCTCCTGCAGGGTAAGAACTTTGTGGGAGACCTGCTGACTGATGGGAAAATCCGATGGGTGGAGACGGGCCAGATCTTCAACTCCCCCAGCGCCTGGGCGACTCACTGCAAACGCCTGGTGAACCCGGCCAAAAAGTCTGGCTGCGGCTGGGCGTCGGTGCGGTACCGGGGACAGAAGCTGGTCCAGTACAAAACCACCTGGCTGCACAAGTACCAGCCCAGTGCCGACATGGTGAGAGGAGCATGACTGAAGGGGAGCATTCCTAATATTTGGTGCTTCCATTACAAAATGTATTTTGTGTAAAAATGGGTTAGTACAGATTTCTAAGCCTATTTTATTATCCTTGCTTTTAGACTTTAAACTGAGTTTTTAATGTTCAAAGTCTAATAATTAAGTCACGACCTTGAGTTTCCTCTCACCTGTGTTACTCATGAACACATCCCCTCACTGCTCGTCTGGTCACGTGACTTACAGGAAGTAATATCTGTGAGAGTATCACTCTTTCACAAAGCTCTTTTTCCATGTTTCACCGATGAGGTAAAGCACAACACATCCACCTTGTGACGCTTGTTTACAGTATAAACAACTCTTATTTTTAGTGACTGTGATGAATACAAGAAAAAATTATTGTAAACACAGATGTCAAAGTAAAACTCAGAACAGGTATAAGAAATGAACAGTATTACTTAAAGCGTGAAGGTTTAGACATTTCTAAAATGATTACTTAGTAGACGTTATAAACATTTAAACCTTTACAGGATTATAATTTCTTAACCGTGTGAAGAGGTTAGTTTTTCTTTTCTTATCTAATACATGAAATTTCAGCTCTGGCAGTGAAACCACGTAAAAACTGCATGTTGTCGTGGTGTAACACAGAGCCAGCATCCATTGTGACATAAGCATCGTTATGTCCTGTCCAGCCTGTCGCCTGCAAATGAAATAAGACACTGAAACGATTTCAGAATGTAAAAATAAAAAAATGGTGGTTAGCATTGTTGCCCCATAGCGAGAAAGTCCTCGTTCAATTCCACCAGGTCAGGGTGTTCCTGTGTGGAGTTAGCATGTTCTCCCCATGTTTCCGGGTACTCCGACTTCCCCCCACAGTCCAAAGACATAAAGTTAGTGGGGATGTTGTGAGTCTATTGTACTGTTGGATATTTAAAAAGAGAAAGAAATATGTACATATATATATAAACCAGTGTCCAGCTTCATGCCGACCACAGAGCCAGCCTTCCTGATTAGTTTTTCCAGGCTGGGCATGTCCTCCTTTGCTGTGCTGCTCCCCCAGCACACCACAGCATAGAACAGCACTCTGGCAACCACCGACTGGTAAAACATCCTCAGGAGCTTCCTGCAGATGTTAAAAGACCTCAGTCTCCTGAGGAAATACAGTCTGCCTTGGCCTTTTTTATACAGGTGCTGCATGACCAGTCCAGTTTGTTGTTCAACCAAAGCCCGAGGTACTTGTACGTGTTGACCACCTCTACCTCCTCTCCCTCTATCTGAACTGGCAGTGGACCTGGTCTGGACCTCCCAAAGTCCACAACCAGTTCCTTGGTCTTTGAGGTGTTGAGTTGAATGTGGTTTGTGTGACTCCATGTGACAAAGTTCCTCACCAGACTTCTGTACTCCTCTTCCTGATCATCCCAGATACACCCCATGATGGCTGTGTCGTCTGCAAACTTCTGAATGTGGCATAATTCAGAGTTATAGCAGAACTCAGAGGTGTACAGGGTGAAGAGAAGAGGGGACAGCACAGTTCCCTGTGGTTCTCCTGCGCTGCTGACCACAGTGTCAGACGTGATGTCCTTCAGTGACATACTGTTGTCTGTCAGTGAGGTAGTTGGAGATTCAAGTGACCAGGCAGGGGTCTCCACCTGCATCCTGTCCAGTTTCTCCTGGAGCAGACAGGGCCGGATTTTATTCAAGGCACTTGACAAGTCAAGAAAGGATCCTGACCGTGCCTTTTCCCTTGTCCAGGTTTGAGTGGGCTCTGTGTAGGAGGTACAGGATGGTGTCCTCCACTCCGACATCCACCTTGTATGCGAACTGTAGTGGATCCTGGGCATGTTGTACCTGTGGTTGAAGGAGGTTGAGGAAGAGCCGCTCTAGAGTCTTTATAAGATGTGACGTCAGTGCCACCGGTTGGAAGTTATTCAGCTCGTTGGGCCGGTTCTTTTTGGGGACGATGCAGGACGTCTTCCAGAGGGCGGGCACTCTCCTCAGTAGCAGACTGAGGTTGAAGACTCTTTGTAGCGGCTCCCCAAGTTCAGCAGCACACGCCTTTAGCATCCTAGGACACACCTTGTCTTGGCCTGCTGCCTTCCTGGGGCGAAGCTTCCTCAGTTGACTCCTCAGTTGTCTTCCAGTGGACCAGGTCAACTGGTCCACTGGAAGTTTGAATGATTGTCTGTGTGTGTGTGTGTGTGTGTGTGTGTGTGTGTGTGTGTGTGTGTGTGTGTTAGCCCTGTGACAGACTGGCAACCTGTCCAGGGTGAACCCCGCTTCTCACCCTAAAGACAGCTGTGATAGGCTCCAGCCCACCCGTGACCCTGACAAGGATAAGCGGCAGAGGATGGATGGATGGAAAATCCTTTTAATCACACTTTGAAATACATTGTGTCCTTTTTTCAGACACTTATTTATTAACAGCCTCTGAACCACGTCTGCAGGGTGACATCGGGGACATTTTGTCTCTTAGAAAATGTAAATGTGAAAGCGAGCCCACATTCAAAACATTTATTAACTTCCTGTAACAGGAGGAACACTTGACCCGTGTCACATCGTGAGCTGGACCAGTATATATTTTTCTCACA